GGCATGCGTTCCATAGGTTCGCCACCCCGGCCCTATACCATTTCAGACAAATGGTTGTCCAATCTCTTCTTTAAAACGTCCAGTGTTGGAGCATTCACAACTTCTGGAGGCAAGTTGTTCCACTGATTAATTGTTCTAACTGTCAGGAAATTTCTCCTTCGTTCTAAGTTGCTTCTCTCCTTGATTAGTTTCCATCTCTTGCTTCTTGTCCTGCCTTCAGGCGCTTAGTAGCCTAGCACTGTGTTGGCTTTTTTGGCAGCTGCAGCACTCTCCTGGCTCATATTTAAGTGATTGTGCACTAGAACTCCAAGATCCCTCTCACAGTTAACTACTATTGAGCCAGGTACCACCTATATTATTATACCTGTGCATTTGCTTTTTCTTGCCTAGATATAGACCCATACTACATACGCACCTAGCCAACCTTAGTTGATTGAGAAAAGCTAAGCAAGGTCAGATCTGCTCAGTATTTGGATTGGAGAAGACCAGGAAGTCCCAGGGCAGGAGAGTAGATTGAAATGTTGAAAAACATCTCCGATCAAAACAAGGTCAAATTCCTTCCATATGTTGCTATACAAACTTTGTGGATGTGTCTCTGACGTCGGTCGGCAGCAGTTTTACTGCAGGGTGTTTTAGTCTCTGTTAGGTTTAGATATAGAAGCCACATGGAGAGATCCATCTTGAATAAACATTCCTTTTTAAGGTGATGTCTATTGCCACGTTCATCCATCATTTCCAAGTCCAAGCTGCTGGTTTACACCACATCGGTTTGTAAGGGGACATCGTATCCTTAAAGGCTGCCCAGCTCCTTGCTCATCAATAACTGCTTTATGAGAATTGACCCTGTCTTTGTCTTGATACAATAATTCTAAGTAGACCTCAACTGTTTTATTTTTGTGTCTCTTTATTGGGAATATGACTTTTGGTTTTCCCAGCTGTTCATAGAATTATACCTGCCGGCCCAGAATCCTGCAGTGGACTTCCAGGACTCTCTCTACTGTGCATTTGTTAGCACATCATCAATGGTTTATGTGTAATAATGAACATGTTAAATTTATAGATGTGTAAAAGTTCCTCTAGATTTATCGAATGAAGTTACACTTCCTCTTATCTGAAAGGACAGGGTGGGTCTCCTTTGGGGTCCAAATTCTCCTCGCCTACAAGCAGTTCTCGACTTATGAGCACGATTGAAAGTCCAAATTCTGTGGCTAAGCAACCCGGTTGTTAAATGAGTTGTGGCTGATTTTACAGCTTTTTTCCACCGTTGTTAAATGAATCAGTCGGTAATAGAGTGGATCTGCTTGTCGGAAGCCCCCGGGAAGGTCACGACCATGTGACCCCATGATGCTGCTACCATCATGAATACGTGGCAATTTCCAAGTGCCCAAATTCTGTTTAGGGATGCTGCAACTGTTGTACGTGTGAGGGCTGGTCATAAGCCACTTTTTTCTCAGTGCCATTGTAACAGTCATTAAACAAATGGTCATAAATTGAGGACTCCCTGTATTTTTCAAAAAGGGAGATCCAGAAATGACACTGTGCAACCTTTAAGGTTTTCAAGATCACTTCAGGATAACTTAGCGAGGCTTTTGCAAGTAGGTGACTCTCCACACAAACAGAAAAAGCAGCTTGCACAGCATAAGTAATAGCTGGAGAGAACAGCAGGGAACAACCATACAACAGACCATGATTTATAGTCTGCAGCGTCCTAATTCACAAACACACACTAAGCAAGAATTAAACAAATTACATCATCGCTTAGTTAATTGTGATCCCAGTCTTTGTGACTGATGTTTCTCTTTAATGTGCTTGGATTAGCTTTTGCGTTTTGCTACTTCTGCGCCATGTTCAAAACCTAGGATTCTTTGCAATTTGGGGGACAGCTAGCCTCTTTTCATTACATTTCAGCATGGGATCTGTGGCTTTTTTGCCTCAGAATGTTCAAGGAGACAGTGGTTTCCCTTCTTCTGTTCCAAAACTTGCAGTTTAATTTGGCTGCAGAGTGCATGTTTTCCTTCTGACGCTACTTCCGTGCCCCTGGGCCTTTTTTTCCACGCCTGAAGGACAGCACATCATCTCGTGTGACTCAACCTTACGAATCATGCTGGAAGCATGAAGCTGTCGCTTGATGCAACTAGGGTGGACTTCCCCACGACTTTTTCGGAGCCAACTTTGAGATGTTTCAGGGAAGAAAAATCCAGGGGGCTACAGCCAGTTTTAAATCATGACACTTTTTCCTTCTCTCCTTCGACTTCCTCAATCACGTGAAGTGACCGTGCTGCTTTGTGCTGCACCAGTGAGATCACACTTGAAATACTACATCCAGTTCCGGTCACCAAAATATAAGAGTTGAGATCCTAGAACAGGGGTAGGCAACCTTGGCTCTTTTATGACTCGTGGGCTTCAACTCCCAGAATTCCTGAGCCAGCCTGGCTCAGCTTGGAAACCTCTCCCTTTCCCCTCAGCATGGCTGGCTCAGGAATTCTGGGAGTTGAAGTCCACAAGTCATGAAGGGGCCAAAGTTTCCCTCATGCTGGCTCAGGAATTCTGGGAGTTGAAGTCCACGAGTCAAAAAGAGCCAAGGTTGCCTACCCCTTAACTAGACAGCCATTTGTCTGGAATGGTATAGGGTTTCCTGCCATGGGCAGAGCGTTGGACTAGAAGACCTCCAAAGTCCCTTCCAATCCTATTATTTTACGTTCTCTATTTTCTCTTCTTTCCTTCTGTTCCACTCGCCAGCTTTCTTTAAGAGAAGGGTCATGGGAGCAAAACAACCCCTTTCTCCTAATTTGGCTCCTCTTTGGAACCATTTGGAACCATAGTAATCACTTTTGAAAAGACTGACAGCTTTTCCGTCATTCTTGGCTCACTGGACCAAATTCCACTTGCTTATCAAAAGCCCTGCTGCCAAGGAACAAAGCCGGGCACTTAAACAAAACTGGCACCAGACATGAAGGCCAGAAAACAACAGCAAGAGCCTGAATAACACATTTTTGGAATAGTTGACCCAGCTTTGAGGACTAGGCTTTAAATGTGTTACTCAGGAGCTCACTGTTGCTTTTCAGTTTCCGTAGAACATAGAATAATAGGGCTGGAAGGAACCTTGGAGGTCTTCTAGTCCAACCCCCTCTGGTGCCAGGTTTATTTAAGTATCTGCTTCAGCATATGAGTGGTCAAGTGCTCAACACTAGGGCTTTTGGTAAAACTGTGGGATTTGATCCAATGAACCAAGAATGGCTTTGACCCTGGAGATTTTTCTGCCTTCTTTGGGCTGGTAGAAGGAGGACAACTAGAGTGCCTGGCATTAGGGATCAAGCTCTTAGTTCTGTCTGGCTGTTCAATCAGGGCATCTACATTTAATGGAATGATTTGGGAATGCCCAGGCATAAATGGTTGATCCAGCACATGATGGACTTCCTTCCTTCCTTCCTTCCTTCCTTCCTTCCTTCCTTCCTTCCTTCCTTCCTTCTTAAAGATTGTGATTGGGGCATGATTCTAACTGGTGGTTGATTTTATTTCTTGCCCTTTTTCTGGACAGATGTTTTATTGTATTATTGAAGCACTTTTGTGAGTTTTGAAACTGAGTCAGGTGTGCAAAAGGCCATGCAGATCATTGTGAAGTGGATTAAATGTCAGAGCAACCAACATGGCACTACAAACTGTAGTTTCTTTTTACACCAAGTGAAGCATTCGCTTTCAAAAGGGAAAAAAAATTGACCCAGAGGTTGATTCTTTAGTGCTATTTTTGAAATAGGTAGTTTGTGGAGCTGCATGTAGTTGGCTGGTTTTGATTTTGCTGTTGTTGTTTATTTTGCATTCTACTTCCTCAGTGAAGTGTCAACGGGTTCTCTGTAGGTTAAAAGTTGTGATCTCTTGTTAAAAATCAAGGGCAAACTTGATCTTGCAAGTTGCCATTCTGGCACAGTTGCTCCTCAATTTTTGCAATTTCTGCTTGGTGTAATACTTTGCCCATCAGATGACTTCCGTACTTGGAAGAATGATTAAACCAAGCGGTGGTTGAACATTCCACGTGCAGGCAATAACCCTGCCAGTTCCCACCATGGAAACAGAGGTGATTAAAAATGCTCCTATTTTAAACTAATTGGCCCGTTTCACTATATGCAAACCAGATGCAAAGACGCTGGTTTAAGCTGTGGTCTGTTCAAACAGATTTAAGAGTGTTTTGCCATGATAAACTATCTTATGACATTTAGTTGTGGTGTATGCATTTCTTTGGTATGTATGTTTTTGGGTGTTTGGGTGTTAAAAATATTGATTAGCTTGGATTGAGAATGCGGTTTAGATGCTCAGCCTTTAAACCGGTTTTAAGTCTGCCATATGAATATATAGGTAGTCCTCAACTTATGACCACTATTGAGACCAGAATTTTCTTTGCTAGGCAAGGCGGTTGTTAAGGGATCATGCCTGCTTTTACAACCTTTTTTTTACCATAGTTGTTAAGTGAATCATAAAGTTATTAAGGAAATCTGGCATTCCTCACTGACTTTGTTTATCAGAAGCTGGCTAAGAAGGTCAAAAATGCGATCACACAGCCTTAGGAAGTTACAACTTCATAAATACCTTCCAAATTCAGGCCAAGTCCCTGAATTTGATCATGGGATTGCAGAGATGCTGCGACGGTCATAAGTCAAAAACGTTTGGTGCCATTGTAACTTGGAACGGTCGTTAAACGAATGATTGTAAGTCAAGGACTACCTGAATAGTGTTGGGTCTACAAAACTTCTATTAATCCATAAAGAACACACAGGACCTTAAATTTAGGGCCCGAATTGAAATATTAGAAGTATTACATTTTGATATTTTTTTTTTAATTTCTGGTGCATTAACTTATTTTTCTCTCTCTTCCCCCCCCCCCCCTTTACAGTAATTGAAGACCTGCACTTCATGGAAGAAGGAGACATCTCTGTGTTGACCAGCAAACATCCAAGCCCTCATGGATTCTGAGCACTCTGTTGCTGACCAGTAGCTGGAGAAGTGGGATGTTTACGTGGAAGTGTCTTATTTTTGGGGCTGTGCTGGTCATAGCCACACTGTCCACTGCAAGACCAGCGCAAACCCTGCCAGAGCAAGGTAGGCAGATCACCTGGTTTATTCGTGTCCATTATTTTTTCCCCGTTCTTACGTGTTCTACGGCCGTGATGTTGGTTAACGGGAATTCTCCGCCAAACATAGACCCAGAAGAACCGAATGTAAACTCTCATAATTTCTCACCAGGCACAATATTTTATTGGGTGTGTATTACAGTATATCAGTCCAAGATATTTTCTTCACCAGAGGGGAGGGGGGGGGAAATGGTCTCTCTTCCTCCGTTCTCATTCATGAAACCTGGCAGAAAGCTGGTTTGCTCTTGTACGTTCTCTACTGGCTGTGTGACCTGTGCAGGATTGAGCATGTGAGATAATTCAAGGAAACCTGGTTCTTTGGTATTTACAAATCTCCAAACTGAAGCAAGAGGGTTAGGGAGAAAGTTAAAAAAAAGAAAAATCAAGATGGCAGTCAATAGTGTATAATCCAGGGGTAGGCAACCTTGGCTCTTTTATGACTCGTGGACTTCAACGCCCAGAATTCCTGAGCCAGCTTGGCTGGCTCAGGAATTCTGGGAGTTGAAGTCCACGAGTCATAAAAGAGCCAAGGTTGCCTACCCCTGGTGTAATCAAAGACATTATCTTGACTCTTTTGTCCCTCCTCACTAAATCAAGCCTAACATTTTACGAGCGATTGCAGAGTTCATTTTATATGCTGCTGCTCATAATAGGTTGTCTGTCTGCACAGACAAATGCCTTTCCCAAGTGACGCTATTGATCTGCATTCACGTAACACACTCTAGTTCTTATCAAATATAAAGATTTGGTTTCCAAAATGTACGATGCAGTAAAAATGATCTTATAGTTTAAGATGAACTGATCCTCACTATAGGCCATATTATAGTTTGTGAGGGAAAGGGACCGGCAGAGCCTGGGGGCAGAGTGAAAAAGGGGATCAGCCTAGCATTCTTAGATAGTCACAAGCAAATGAAGTCCAATCCCCTTTGAATCCTGTTGGCCCTTATCTAACTGTAACCAGATGTTGACTGTTGGTTGAAAAGATTCCTTTGTAGGGGATTTAGCAATAAATCAGTTTAATTGAACCTTCTTGTGTGGACCTGGCCTTTCACACCTGGCAGTTTATTCAATAGACCACAACTGTCGGAATTCAGACAACGTGCTAAGTTGCTATGGCTTACAAACCGTGTTAGTTGAGTCCGTACAGCATGTCAATCCAACATCAAAACCCCCAGTTTACAGTGTATGAATCACCAAAACAATCTATCCCAATGCACTGGCACGTTTAATAAAGACATTGTCATACAATGCCATGTCCAAACAAATAATCCAGGCTTTTGATGATGGCCTGATTCATGTAGTATGCTACGACAATGGCTACATTCTCACAACCTACTCATCGACAAAAGACCCAACTCCGTTTTTACGTGTGGCCTTCTCCCTGTATGTCCCATTTATGGTTTGAAATGATTGCTTTTCTTCTCAGGCAATAATTCTGTAAGATTTTATGTCAGAAGCTGGCAACAGATGGATGATGTTACTGTACAAGAGAATTATCCCAAGGTGCCAGAAGAAGGTTAAAGCTGAAAATTATGAGCTAGAATAAATAGTCTTTCATGTTGAAGCCGGTGGTTAGATCAGAAGCCAGCCAAAGTTATTTGTGCTTTTGATCAGACAAGGACAGGGAACCAGTTTCGTTTATTTGTACTTCAAAGCTATCACCCTGATGTGAAGCCATCTTGCACATCTGTATTCTTTTCTATTATTTGAAGCCTATGAAGGCCTGTCTCAATATTTATCCGCTGTCCTTTTGGCTGCAGCATTCTTCCACCCACCTGCAAAAGGACATTTTCTCATGGCAGTTGCAAAAATTAAAAACACCTCGTGAACTGAAAGCATGTTTGAGCCTCAGGCAGCATTCCACATTAGCTTATCAAAACAAAAAGGCAGACTTTGAATGATTAATTGCCGAGCTCCTTATCATCCAAAACAATCTGTTAATCCTTTCTAAAGAGTAATCTGCACTAGATTCACAAGCAGCCTGGGTAAATGTTCAGAAAACTGGAAAAGAAATAGGAAAGTTAACAGCACACTAGCAGTTACTGAAAGATAACTAGAAGAATGACGTCTAAGACAGTGGTTCTCAACCTTTTTAATGCCGCGACCCCAACCGGTCGTAAGTCGAGGACTAAACCGGTCGTAAGTCGAGGACTAAACCGGTTGTAAGTCGAGGACTTTCCCTGCCCGGGAGCGCCGCGCATGCGTGGTTCCGCCCCCTGCACTGGCCGAGGCGTAGCTGGCAAGCGGCAGAGACGGAGCAGGCCGACCACCAGCTGGCCCAGCCCAAGGGAGGTAAGGCACCCGCCGGAAAAGGGGGAAAAATGGCGGACAGCCTTGCTTGGCGACCCCTGTGAAATGGTCGATCGACCCCAAATAGGGTCCCGACCCACAGGTTGAGAACCGCTGGTCTAAGAGGAAAGCTTGTCCCATTTCTTTTATCAATCTCTCCCAGATGAAAAGTGTCATTTTGCTAAATATGCGACAGTTAGTTTCCAGGGTCATAATACAATTTGTGGGCTAATATTTTAGAGGAATGAAGGTAAATATAAGTGTCCCAGGATAATGTTGCAAGATCCGGCCGTCAACACTTTAATCAACACCTAAAAGCTATACACAGTCAGAAACCCATATAAATAAAATGCGTAGAACAGCCCAAGGCACATATTCTAGAGAGAGAGAGAAATTCCCTAATGATGGGCTCTAGCACAAGCCCCAAAGCTTGGAAGAATAAACCCTTGGTCCTGGTGACCGACTCAGACTGGATCCTGCTAATATTTTAATTACGGGAGGCAACAAAAATGGGGTTTTTTGCATTTTCCTGGATGGAATTGCGCAATCCCAGAGGGACAGTGGAACATCTGAATGGTGCCTTTCTTTATTTCAGTTAGAGAAACATCGCTATTCCACAAAAACTAATCTTAATTGGATCGCAGTTACAAAAAGTTCTCTACCTTTAGATTCTGGGATGGACGCAGGGCCTTTTTTCTCATAGAACGCCCAGAACGGAGTTCCGGCACCTTTTTTGGGTGGAACCTTGTCGGGTAGGCAAGGCGGGTTGTTGTATGACGTGTGTGAGTTCCGGCACCTTTTTTTTTTTTTTTTTAGAAAAAAAGCACTGGATGGACGTATTTAGGTAGGTTTCAGGATACGAACGCCAACAATACAGAGAGGCAGGGAGAAGGCTGCATCCTTCATCCCTAAAGGCTGAGCCTCCATGCCTCCTGTGGTTAACCTTCAGCTTTATGGAAATGGCAAATTAGCTGCTTTGCAGTTTTGCCTCCAGCAGAGCGAACAGCATGTGGCTGGCGCTTTATTCATTAGACACCGACTCAGCTTGATATAAATGCCCAACCATGATTTATTATGGCCTATGATAGTCTTTGGCGATCACAGAATTAAGCATCTCTGTATTAAAATCCACCTGAGGTCCATGTGATGTCTTTGAATGTTGACTCAAGCGCAGGGGTTCTCAACCTTGGCAACTTTAAGACTTGTGGACTTCAACTCCCAGAATTCCTCAGCCAGCAAAATTGGCTGAGGAATTCTGGGAGTTGAAGTCCACAAGTCTTAAAGTTGCCAAGGCTGAGAACCCCTGACTCAAGGGGACAGGATTTGCAGACCGAGACATGCACATCAGGAGGGCGTTTGATTGTAGAAGACTGTTATAGCTTTTGCACTCTATGGAATCCATTCTCCGCCTTGGTAATTCCTTCCTAAAATTTGACGATTTCTTCCTAAAATAAAGAAAAAAGTATTCACGTGCAATGGTATTTAGGCTGCTCAAATTCCCAAAGCCTTCAGACAAAATTAAAACAAAATGGAAGCAGTGTGTGGACTTGCCAACCATGCAGAGATATCCTCACCAGTTGTATCCTGTCACTGAGATACCAATTGATCCACCTGTTCCTTGATTGACAGTGTAGGTATTTAGAATCGAAGCTCAAGATTCTAGATAAGGGAAATATATGAACATCTCCTTATGCTCTCAGATATATCATAACCTTGACTAACGTGGATTTTTTTTTACATGCATGGATTATTTGGATTGTAACTGAAAGAAAGTTGAATCTTCAAATCAGACCCTTTTAAAGGAAATTAGAGCTAATAGAACAGCACTTCAAAAACCAGGAATTCAAATAGGTATAGAAGCAGCAGTCTATCCTCATATTCTTTTGATGGCTATAAAGTTGATAAGTAAAGCAAGCTGGGAGAAATGTGGTAGTTTTCATTGGCAGCTTGTTTTTCAGAAATGAGTCAGTGTGAAGTTTACAGATGGGCTCGTTGAATCTGGAGCTGAATGCAAACCTTGACAAGAGACCCTCCCTAACTTTAGATGTAAACTACTATTCATGGGTAAACTGAAGTTTATACTTTCAGAGTATAGTTAATAGCTCAGAGTGCACAAGTTTGGGGTTTGTTTTGTTTGGCTTATTGGTCTCTTTGAATCAGGGCTGACACCTGATGACTGCTTGGACAAGATTTCTGACAAGGTTTCAGAAGTGGTTTACCATTGCTTACTTCTTAGAGCTGAGAGATAGTAACGGGCCCAAAATTACCCAACTGGTTTTGTGCCTAGCTAGAACTCTCAGTTTCTATCTCAGCCCCTTAATCACTGTACCAAGCTGGCTGTCTTAATTGCCTACAAAGGTGTGTGAAAATTTCCATGCTGATCCTCCGAGGGAGCATAACATAGAACATAGAATTATTGGGCTAGGAGGGATCTCGGAGGTCTTCTAGTCAACCCTCTTACTCAAGGCAGGAGCCTTACACCACCCCACTCAAATGGTTGTCCAATCTATTTTTGAAAACCTCCAGGGATGGAGCACCCAGGACTGTGGGAGGCTACCTGTTCCATTGATTAATTGTCAGAAAATTGTGATCTCTTTATTCCACCCATTAACATAACTCGATAAGGAAATTAGCCCAAAGGTTAGATACTGAACAGAACTGCAATTAATTATTTTTCCCATACCTCAATCACAGATAAGATTGAAGGATAGGCGCAGCTCTTTCTGCATTGTGTCAATATTAGCTGGATTCTTGAACCTGGGTATATTCTCTTTTAATAGGGTTATTTTTTAACTGCATTGATTTATTAAGTTATATTTTTAGCATCCCATAAGTGAGTTTGATTTTACAGGTCACTTGAGTATGCCTAGATAGTGTTTAGTTTTTCGGAGATAGGTTAGGAAAAAATGTTTTTAAAGTGTTTACACATCTGGCTATTTTTTTTTCCATACCAGTACAAAGTATATATAGGTCAGAGTTGGTTCTTGTTGGTTCTTGGCATTCACAAACTCAATCCAACCAAGATCAAAAACACCAAGAACCTAATGGACCAATGTTTCTCAACTTTGGAAGCGTTCAGAAATGTGGACTTCAACTCCCAGAATTCTCTTCACGGCTGACTGGAGAATTCTGGGTGCTGAAGTCCACATATCATAAAGTTCTCAAGGTTGAGAAACACTGACATAGACTGATCCCTGTATCTCCCAAAAATCAGTTTCTGGGGTCTAAACACATTTATTGGATGATGTCAGCCATCTGGTTGACTCTTTCCACCAATTTTTGTGGGAATTTTTCAAACTGGAAAAAATAGATGTGATTGGCTCAGGAAGCCGTAACCAATCCACTTGTCAGCTTTTTGAGGCCAAAAAATAGTTTGAAATAATTGCATAATCGAAAAAAACGATTTGGTTTGCTGTCCAAAGTGAGTGGTACAACCTAGGGGAGTCCCTGGGAACCATACATTTTTGTTATTGTGCATGTGGCCATAACATGCTCCATTTGATTTCAGTTAGCATATTGTTTGGCCAAATGTGGCACTGTCAACAAGCCATAGTTAGATTCAACCTGGTCTTGTTGCTGTGTGAAATCTGTGAATGGTAGCTGAGGACGAGACCCAACCTTGAAATCCTTCTAGAAGTCTATCAAAACAGGCTGGGGGATCTTAAGGAAATAATGGCGGCCTCGTTGCCTGTTAACAATGAATCCTCTCTCCTAGGCTTTTCAATAACAACGCTGATGTTTTTAATTGCAGAGCGGTTTTGTTTATTTTATATTCTCCTTTTATTGCGCACCAATCCTGAGTCAGATTTTCTGAGATGGGTGGCTATAGGAAATACGACGAAGCAAATGAATAAATTAAAGGCAAATAAAACATTGGTAGAGATTCACTTTCCAGTCTTTTCGGGGCAGATTTTTGTGTCAAGTATGCATTGGGGAGGGGGACAGGGGTGCTGTTTTCGTTTGGGTATTTTGCAAACTTGAGCCGGGGCACACATGAAATCTAAGGAGGGCAGGAATTTGGCTCAGCTGAGGGGTGTGTAGAAGCCGGGCTGAGGGACCGAGAGAGAATCGGTGACCGGCTGATTTTGTTTGATGCTGTGATTAATTACTAGGCTGTGGTCCAGGGGAGATGGGAGATGGAAAGAGAAGAAAGCAGTTACTGAACAACCAGGAGGTCAAAGGTCATGCCTAGCAGCTGGGGCATGTTTTTACAACTCCTTTTCCTAGGGGGGGGGGAAGCAAAAGTATTGCATTTTCCTCCCTGGCTCCAGCCTTGCAAACAAAGGAAAGACCCCCCCCTACCCTCTGGCATATAGTCTCTCCCCCACCCCAGCCCCCCACCCATTAAAAATAACTCTTGAGTGACAACAGGCTCAATTTAAGCTTGAAAAATCCAATCTGCCAAAAGATTTATTGCTAACTTTTGCCCAAACTATATAAGGGGGGGTAGGTAGAGTGGGGCCAGAAGAGGGAATGCAGGTACCTTAAAAAAAAAAAAAAAACCCAATGCATCATACCAAGATGAAAATGAATGAGCCAATTAGCTAGGTAAGGTTTCCTCCATCTCTGCTGACGATTTTGTTTAGGGCATTTTTTAAGTATCTGTGCAGGCTACTCTTTCGGATCTCTGTAGCATTTGACAAATGACGGTGCTATCTGTTCAGTCCTGTCCCCAATTCTATGGACATATTTCTCTCCACATTTTTCCCGATCTGTAGAGCTTCTTAGAGTTGTTTTACCAGGGCTTTTTTTCTCATAGAACGCCCAGAATGGAGTTCTGGCACCTTTTTGGGATGGAACCTTATAGGGTAGGCAAGGCGGGTTGTATGACGTGTGTGAGTTCTGGCACCTTTTTTCTTTACAAAAAAACCACTGTTTTTTACCCTCTGGCTGATGTGGGCTTTGATGGTGTCTAGCTGTTATGTTTTTTGGGCAGCCTCGTTTCCTTTTACCACTGACCCTTCCAGGCATAGCTGACTTTTCCAGTAAGTTTGATCACACGACGTGGCCGAAATAATTAAGGTGGAATTTTGTGGGTTTTTTGCCTTCCAGCGATATGACTGGCTTTATATGCTCCAATATTTGCTGGATTGTTACCTCTGCTGAATCGGCAGGTGCCTTCTCCAACAACAGAGCTCAAACAAGTAATCTTTCCTCCCGTTTCCTAATTTCTTTCTTCCTAATTTTTTTCATGGCCCAATGTTGGGTCTGATTTACCTGGCCAACAGAGAAAGCTTGAGGGAGACATGGTAACGTCTTCCAATACTTGAGGGGCTGTCACAGAGAAGATTTAGTCTCCAAAGCACCCCAGGGCAAGACAAGAAGCGATGGATAGAAACTAATCAAGGAGAGAACTAACGCAGAACTAAGGAAAACATTTCCTGGCGGTGAGAACGATTAACCAGTGGAATGGCTTGCCTTCAGAGGTTGTGGGTGCTCCAACAGTGGAGGTTTTCAAGACAAGACTGAACAGCCCATTTGTCTGGGATTTTATAAGGACTCCTGTCAAGGTCCCTCCCAGCTTTAGTATTTTATGATTACAGTGGTACCTTGGTTCTCAACTGCTTTGAAACTCATCAAATTTGGTACCCAGTACATTTTGATGCAAAAAAAATCTGTCCCGTTACTCATTGTTTGTTTGGTACTCCATGCACAAGCTAGAACTTGTCATGGTCAGCTGCCTTGTGACTCACTACGTTATTCCTTATGGGGAAAATGTGTTTGGTACTCATCGTTTTTGCTACTCATCCCTTGTCCTGGAACCAATTCACAACGAGTACTGAGGTATCACTGTATATAAATAACTGTAGTTTATTCTGCCTGGTTTGTTCAGCCCATGCAGAGGTGTTGGGGTGCCCTCAAATGATACTGAACCCAGAATTGCAGCTATACTGGGGGTTTCAATACACACCTGTATGCCTTAACTCTAGAGAGAGAACAGATGGTACTCTTCCTTACAGTCTCTCTGAGGGCAGACAACTCTTTTTCAGAACCTTCAATTATTGAAAAATTTAGGAAGTCCCTTGAGCTTTGATCTGGGAGGGGTGGGTTTTTTTTGGGGGGAGGTAAGATTTACAGGTTTCACATTCAACTTCTGTTCTCTCTATCCACTGAATTCTGAACAGCCAACCCTTTTTAAGCTGAGTGGATCTTGCGCGTTGTTATTATTATTGGTGTGCAATACACTTATAGAAAATTGGATCGATTAATTAAACGAGGGACAGCCGGTTAAATTAGCCTTGGATGAGTCAGACATTGTGCATTTCAAATTGGGGATTTTATTGCAAAACGTTTCCAAGGTACAAAGATTGCTGCACGAAGACCTGGTCAAAGATAATTGAGAAATATTCACTATTTCCCTCCCCACCCCCTCTCCGAAAAGGAATGCTGGCTAAAAGATGATTATTTGAACTGAAAGGCAACATCCTCTTGGCCTGGAAATCTGAGACTGTGTGGAGCCTGGCAGGCGTTCTCAGTGCCAAGGAGCTGATTTTGGTGGGTCTCGTCCCTGCTAAGCTCAGTGTTCCCAAATCTCTCTAATTCTCGCCCACAAACCAAAACCCGAGGATTACTTGTTAAAATAGCATCCTGCTGCTATGCTAAACCTGAAAGTGGACAGGCCACGCTTAGTAAGGAAGCCACTGTTTTTCCCTTTTAAATTGGAATTCAGGATGAAGTCTATATGAAAAGCCCCAGTGCTATCCTGCTGTCTCTGCCTCAAGGGACATGATGTGAAGAAATGGGAGGCCTGAGCAAAGGCATTCATAGAACATAGAATAATAGAGTTGGAAGGGCTTTTAGAGGTCTCCTAGTCCAACCCCCTGCTCAAGCAGGATACTCTTACAGAATAGCAGAGTTGCCAGGGACCTTGGAGATCTTCTAGTCCAACCCCCTGCTCAAGCAGGAGACCCTACGCCATTCCAGACAAACGGCTGTCCAGTCTCTTCTTGAAAACTTCCAGTGTTGGAGCATTCACCGCTTCTGGAGGCAGGTTGTTCCACTGATTAATTGTTCTAACTGTCAGGAAGTTTCTCCTTAGTTCTAGGTTGCTTCTCTCCTTGATCAGTTTCCATCCGTTGCTTCTCGTCCTGCCTTCAGGTGCCTTGGAGAATAGCTTGACTCCCTCTTCTTTGTGGCATCCCCTGAGATATTGAAACTCCACATCGGTATAAATTGAAACATGAATTAAGACTTTAAACTTTAAAGCAAGTTTTAGGCAGCTGAACCCATACAACCCACTTCAAATTCCGGATCCTTTGTACCGATTTAGAAAACTCATGTTTACGTATCATGTGTACCTCAATGTCATAAATATTATATAAATCCATACTGTAAAGAAAAAGAATTATATCCTAAAAAAATTCCAGCGTCTACAAATTATTGAAATGATCCATTGTGCTTACTGCTTTACGTCATCTTTGGTTTAATATGATTTAAATGTGAAATTTAAGGATGCCAAAGATCTGGAACTGTCTTTACTACGTAGGGACATCTATAAAGTAGTACTCATGACAGCAAATCATTCTCCTCTATTCCATTCTTGCCAAACCAAATTCCCTTTTTCCAACGTTGCTATGAATCCAGCTTTTCTTCAGCATTTTTCAGCTCAAGAGGCCTACAGAACAGTCTGTACTATGCTACCATAGAGTAAATAAAGAATTCCGTACAATAAATCAGCCAAAAGAACAGGATGAAATGACCATCATACAGACACAGGTCACCATAAATAAAAGTCTTCCCAAAGTGCGGAGGGATTAAGAGAATTCTGGCCAAGTCTCCCATATCAGGTTTTGTTTGGGTTTTTTTGTAGTTACGGCGGCAATAGAGAAGAAAAGGAGAGGAAAACCTAATACTTTTCCCCTCAGTGTGACTGCTGAGCATTCGTTCTGCTGGAAGGATTGAAATATGGAACATGTTATATAATAATAATAATAACAACAACAAGAAGAACAACTTTAATTGTCACTTTAAATGTACACCAATCGGCATACACCAAAATGAAATTTCATTGCATACAGCTCTCAAGGGCCACCACCTCCGATATACACTCCTTGTTCGTGGCCAGCTCAAGTTTCAGGACGTCCATTTTAGTCTCTAGGGAGCGAAGGATGGCCAATAGGCCAGATGGAAAGGGAGCTCCATGTGGATATATATCTTTCGCTCCCTAGACTCACATTTATGACAGTTGCAGTTCCTGGGGGTCACATGATCACCTTTTGTGACCCTCTAACACAGGGGTCCTCAACTTGGCAACTTTAAGACTTGCGGACTTCAACTAGGAGTTGAAGTCCGCAAGTCTTAAAGTTGCCAAGGTTGAGGACCCCTGCTCTAACAAGCAAAGTCAATGGGGAAGCCAGATTTACTTAACAACCGTGCTACTAACTTAACCACTGCAGTGATTCCCTTAACAACTGTGGCAAGGGAGTCATAAAGTGGGCCAAAACTCCCTTAGCAACTGTCTTGCTTAGCAACAGAAATGTTGGACTCAGTTTGGGTGGTGATTTGAGGACTACCTGCATTAAACACAGCCATTAGAAAGCAGGAGAACATTATCTTGTCATGTGTCAGAAACCGTTCAAAAGGAGCCCGGCTCTTTTGATCACGTGTTGCAAGGCAGCGTGTCTAAATGCAAAAGAGCTCATGGTAGGTCCACATTCCCCAACCTGATGCTCTCCAGATGCGTTGTGAGTTCAGGGAGCACCATCTTGGCCCATCCAGAGTCAAGAGAGTGGAATGGCTTCCCTGTAATCAGTTGTGAAATGAGGCGATTCAGAGGAGGAACGTAAGGGCCTCCAGGTGCATGGAAGAGGGACGATGGACCTCTGATTCCCTCCCTTCTCGTAGCTGACTCACATCACAGGAGACTTGGTGGTGCAGTGGTTGGAATGTAGCATTGCAGGCAGACGTTGCCCACTGCCAGGAATTCGATCCTGTCTGGCTCAAGGTTGACTCAGCCTTCCATCCTTCTGAGGTCGGTAAAATAAGAGCCCAGGTTATTGAGGGCAATAGGCAAATTCTGTACACCGCATAGAGAATGCTGTAAAGCACTATGGAGAAGTATATAAGTCTAGGGCAGGGATAGGCAACCTTGGCTCTTTTATGACTGGTGGACTTCAACTCCCAGAATTCCTGAGCCAGCCTGGCTCAGCTTGGAAACCTCTCCCTTTCCCCTCAGCGTGGCTGGCTCAGGAATTCTGGGAGTTGAAGTCCACGAGTCATAAAAGAGCCCAAGGTTGCCTACCCCTGGTCTAGGTGCTATTGCTGTCTGAACCACCCTCATCCAACTGGGCTTGTAGCTTTCATTCTGATCCAGCGATCGCCATCTTCCGATTGCAGTGAACACAACTAGTTGTTCTCCCCCCCCCCCTGTTGCATATTTGAGGGCGTTGAATGTCTTTGTTAACTCTTGGCTTTAATAAGCTGGAAAACTTAGTGCTGGGTTGGGGTCCTGATTTGGGAGGAAGAAGTCCTTTAGGGAACGGATAAGGAGCATCAGTAGCTGTTGCCCACCGCTACCCCTCCCACCACTGAGACTTTGCCAAAATAAGAAACAGGCGTTGCACATGGGTTCTGTGCAGCCGGATGAAGAGAAAGCGATGGCTAATACCTTTGGCGCACCACCCCGGCAAAACTGATCCTTGCCAGCCTTCAGGAAAGGCCAATTAGAAGGGGGTTCCCCTCCACCTCTTCCTCTCCCCCAACCCCAGATAAAAAGAGACTGGTCCCCAGAGGCCCAACTAAGCACTTCCTGTTGGGATTAAGGGATCTGGGGTGGCTGTGTGTGTACATGCGCACGAATGCACACACACTTTCTCTCTCTCTCTCTCTCTCTTTTCAGGAAATACCTTTAGTAAGCCCTGGCGGTGTTTCTATGGCAACCGCAGAGGGGACCTGCTGATCTCAGCCATTCAGGGTTTTTTTTATTGTTCTGGGCTCCCTTTTGTGGCTCTGCATCCACAGGGCTGGCCAATAACTACCATTTGCCCTTTGGGGGGAAAGGCTCTGAATGCAAATGTGATTTAAAAAGAAAAACAAAACAAGAAAACATTCAGAGGGACTCACCCTGCACAGGACCGATTGCGTGCAACACCTCCCCTCTCTCTATTTAGGGTCCCCTCTGAGTATCCAACCAGTAAAAGTTAATCCAGCTGCTGTTCTCCTCCTCCCACGTGGGAGGAGGGCTTGGGAAAGCAGGAAGCAGAAGAAGAAGAACTACTTCCTCCTCTTCCTCTTCCTCCTCCTCCTCCTCCTC